TTGTTCTAATATTGACTTATAGCCTCTTTATTTCTGCCTCATTTTAACATGTTTCTGAAAGATCCAAAATTGTCCGTTATCCCTTCTTTCTTAGATAATAGTGGCATGTAAGGTTCCTAGTGTATTTTTCCTGTTAAATATTCTTAGAATTGAGCCATCTTTTTTAGTTTCACACTTTGCAGGAGAGTTACATAGTTGTCTTACTCTTGACTTACAGCACTGTAAGCGTTTATAAACCACTGTATACTAGAGTTAGTAGAGTGCTGTAAAATAGAAATTGGAAGCGTTTTTGGGTTCTCTTCTTAGCAGATGATGTCTTTACTCTTGGTTTTGAAATGCAGTATGAAGAAATTACCTGAGGCCTCCCCCCAAATTTGAAAGATTTGGGGATTTTTCAAATTATTATGTTTGTAGAGTTTAGCAGTATATTAATTGATATTTTTTAAGTTGCTCTTTTATCTGCTTAACTTGTGTGTGATGAATTCATCATTTTCTCTCAGGGTGTGTTGCAATTTTTTGTCATAATGAATGTATTTAACACCTAGAGTCCATTTTGATGTATTAACACACATAATGTGTACTTTAAAAGACATAACCTTGTCAGAGGCATCTCTTTGGTAATAGAAAAATGCGGTTATTTTCATCTGAGTTATTTACTGACTTATTTGAATTCTTATTTCAGGCATAAACTTTTAAAACGTTGTGCAGTAGGACCCAGTCGACCTCCCACAGTATCACAACCAGGGTTCAGTGCAGGACCATCATCATCTTCATCTTTACCACCTCCTGCTTCTTCTAAGCACAAAACGACAGAAAGACAAGAGAAAGGAGACAAGTTGCAAAAGAGACCCTTGATACCATTTCACCACAGGCCCTCTGTGGCTGAAGAGTTATGCATGGAACAAGACACAACAGGGCAGAAGCTGGGGTTGGCAGGGATAGACTCCTCCTTAGAGGTGTCTAGCAGTAGGAAGTATGATAAGCAAATGGCCGTGCCTTCCAGAAATACAAGCAAGCAAATGAATCTGAATCCTATGGATTCACCTCATTCCCCTATTTCCCCTCTGCCGCCAACACTCAGCCCTCAGCCACGAGGTCAGGAAACGGAGAGTCTGGACCCACCATCTGTCCCAGTGAACCCAGCCCTCTATGGAAACGGGCTAGAACTCCAGCAGTTGTCTAGCCTGGACGACAGAACTGTCCTCGTAGGCCAAAGACTGCCTCTGATGGCAGAGGTCAGTGAGACCGCCTTATATTGTGGGATTAGGCCCTCAAACCCCGAGTCATCAGAGAAGTGGTGGCATAGTTACCATCTCCCATCCATTGACGATGCTGAGTTCCGGCCTCCAGAGCTCCAGGGTGAGAGATGTGATGCCAAAATGGAGGTAAACTCAGAGAGCACTGCGTTGCAAAGGTAAGGCGACTCTCTGCACCATCCACCTGATCGCCCACCGGGAGGCCAGGGTTGTAGGTTCCCAAGGGTCAGGGGCTTCCCTTGTCTTTTGTCCCTGCTACAACTTCAGATCCAAAATGAAAGAGGCTTTTCTTCACCATTCTAGACTCTGCATTTGGAAAATGTTTAAAAGTCAAGTGCTTTGTCATGAGGTTTAACAAATGTCATTATTTAAATGCTGGCATATAAAGGTTTCAGAGTACTTTCTGATCTACCCATTATTCTAAACAGTTTACATAGATTATGTCGTTTAATCTTTACCACAACTGTATTACTACCTTAATTTCATAGCTGAGAAAGAAACTAGGGTCATGCAGTTAGTAAATGACACAGATGGAATTTGAACCTGGATAGTTTGTCTTCAGAGTCCATCTGTGCTCTAAAGTGGAATCCATGGAATCAGAGACAAAAGCCTATGTTCTTGACAGAATCTACTAAGTTTTATTTAATTGTGACTGTAATCTCTAAAATTCACTTGTAGGTGAATTTTCAGGGTATTTTTTTTAAGTTTAGTTTAAGCTTTACAAATGCTTTAAATTGTAAATGTTGCTTTTCTAAAAGTGTAATCTTTTTGCTTTATCTTGCTTAAATTGTCATTTATTTTCCCTTTCAGACTCTTAGCACAGCCTAATAAACGGTTTAAAATCTGGCAAGACAAGCAGCCCCAGATGCAGCCACTCCACTTCCTCGATCCAACAATGCCTCTGTCACAACAACCTGGAGACAGTTTGGGCGAAGTCAATGACCCATATACCTTTGAGGACGGTGACATAAAATACATCTTTACAGCAAACAAGAAATGCAAACAAGGGACAGAGAAAGATTCCCTGAAGAAGAATAAGGTACCATTAAACATAGATGGAGTCCAGCCTGGTGTGGGTTTCAGTCTGTGTCAGTACAACACACGTGGGAAGACTTGGAGGCAGATTGTTTGAGATAGTCTTGCCTGATTGCTCTGTCCCCATATTCATGCTCTTGGTACTATTGTATCGAACAGCGTATTGTTCCTTTTTATGTCATGGCTCACCTTTGTTTAAAAGTCAGCTGAACATAAGCGAAGCCTCATATTTTCCAGGCTATAGCTTGTACAGTGCATGTTTCCTCTCATATGCTAATTCTTGTTGGCCTATGCTCCCTACTTATTTCTTTTTAAATTATTATTCCAAAATGCCCAAAATGTAAAGAAAAAATGTTGGTAACTATATCTAGTGTTTATTGAGCGCTCATTGTGTTTACTTTGCCAAGCGCTTTACCTATATATCTCTCCGAATTAATGTCAGCCCTACTCCAAGACTGTGTCAGTATTAATTTTACTAGTTTCATTGTCATAAAAATGAGTACTGGGGGTGTCTGCTGTCTTTAGCTTTAAATTTTAAAACATTCTAAAATACTGGGCCATTTAAGGAGGTATTCTTAAGAATAGAGGAAATAAGACAGTTGCAAGAGGCTAGCATAGTTTAGGAGAATGCTTCTCAGATTCCTTTACAAAGTTCTGTCTAGACCCAGAAATCTTGAACTATAGTTCACCATCCAAAATGTTATATTAAAGGCAGCTTTTAACACATTGCAGGCCTGTAATCAAACACCACCAGTACTGTTTAGGCACGAAACCCTGACTGACTCAGATTAAAGGGAAAGTGTGGTAGTATTTGGTTCAGTTTAAATTCAGGGGAAAGGACATATCTTTTATTTCCTTTGGTTGCATAGACCATGGTTTATCATACTTGTGCTCATAACAAGTTCCATTCTACCCTCTAATTCTTTGTGTTCTCCCTCATATTCCACACTTTGGGTTGGTGTTCATGTGTTTTGTTTGGCTGAATTTATTATACAGTCAGAGGATGGATTTGGTACCAAGGATGTCACTACACCAGGTCATTCCACGCCGGTGCCTGAAGGGAAAAATGCCATGTCCCTTTTCAGTTCTACTAAAACAGGTGTGTACCATGATTATTTGCCTCACTTGGATTGTTGCTAAAATAAAATGCAAGGGAGATGCTTCTCTATTTAAAATTATTTTCTTATTGTGATAGCAATAATTTGATCTCATCTTTAATATATTTTTCATAGTCTGTTTTTCAGTTCCTTTCAAAACTGATAAACATATTTGGCAATAATTGTCTCTAAATTTAACTGAAAACGTAGGGAAACAATTCACAGGCAGGGCTTGCTCATAAAGATCTGTGTCCTCTCCTCACTCCTTCTCCCTTGACCAAGTTGCTCATTCTGTGCCTTTTGCCTCCTTCCCCACAGATGTCCGGCAGGATAATGCTGCTGGCAGAGCTGGCTCCAGTAGCCTGACTCAAGTGACAGATTTGGCACCTTCCCTTCATGACTTAGACAACATCTTTGATAATTCTGATGATGACGAACTTGGGGTGAGTCTGCCATAGCTACACAAACAAAAAATCACTTAAATGGGCAGGTGGATATCACTGTTGCAGTATACTTACTCCTGCAAGTGCTCTAATTGACCTGACTCTAAAGACGGTGCACTGCACCAAGGACAGAGTGACAAGCAAGCAGTGTTTAAGTAAAACCTTGAAAGTTAGGTAGGAATCAGACATCTAAAACTCACTATCATTTTAAATAAAATGTAACTGATTAACAGATACTGTACACCATTAGTATTATAATTTCTTAGAAGATGAGGTGATCATAATGGCCTTGAAGAATGGAA